GCTTACAGCCAATCAAAATGTAAGAACTTCAGTCTACGCAACCGTCATTTTAACCAATGAAATTGTGATATTTTTCATCTCTGCCACGCAGGCACATTTCTCATCAGCCAATGAGAAGCGAGGCGAGGCGGGTGTAAGGGTGAAGAAGTACCTGTGAGTATAAGCTAACACGAGAACTTATTTAGAAAACAATATTTCAAATTTAAATTATAGGTGACTACCGATCGTTTGCATCCGCGACAAAATAAGTGTTTTAGTAATACTTCTGTTACCGCGTTCAAGATTAATTTGGCATGTTTTGTTAGGCATCTTTCAGATTAGCTACATAGCAAGCTAGTGTATTATTAGTAGTCTGATGCTGACATCTGATGCAACATATTAGTGGCAGACTGTAATCGGTTGTGTTGTAGATTTAAAGCTAATCAAATTGTTTTTGGAATTCAAAACAGCAGAGAAGATGGATTTCCAGCAGCATGGATACCGGGCAAGTACGTATGAAAGAACTTTGCAAAACGTTGCTCTTTTAGATACGTGGACAACCACACACTGTACTTTAAAATCAGCAAAGCCTAAATTGATTACATCACGAGCAGTCTGGCATCAAAGTGCAATGCAGATTGTAAAGTAATTAGACCTAATTAGATATCTTGGTTTGATGACATGTTGTGTGAACTCTTTAACCCTTTGCCACATCATATTGTAATCAGTTACTTTAACACAGGTCATAGGTGAAGAATGGAATTTGAAAAAGTGTTACGATCCTAGTTTTTTTTTTTTTTGATGCATAAGCAGCCATATATTTTATGTGAGAATTCTCTAAATGTGATGTTGCTTTATCAGTGATTTCCCCCCCCATGCAGCAAAACCCAGAGCTAGAGCATCTCCACCCAGTGGGGGTCCGCTTCTTTTTGATGACACCAGTTCTGGGCCCCCACCCATGAACAGCCAGAACTACTATAGTTCAGAATATAATATGGCTGATGCATCAGCAGGGGGTCAAGACCCTGGAGTGGGCAGCCTCTTTGCTGATCCAGTGGCCAGTGCTGCCATGATGTATGGCTCATCACTTGCCAATCAAGGCAAGGATATTGTGAACAAAGAGGTGAGATGCCATGTTCAACTTAAGGTATCACAGGTGTATGTTATGTCAGTGAAGTGGAAAGTGTTGACCCAACTGTAGATGTCAATCATGCATTGCATCTGTCTTCTGATAAATGTTAAGTATCAATATTTATTGTGTAATTGATTTTATTTTTCTCCCACCTTGTCATCTCTTACAGATTAACCGATTCATGTCGGTGAACAAGCTGAAGTATTTCTTTGCAGTTGATACCAAATACGTTATGAAAAAACTGTTGCTTCTCATGTTCCCATACACACATCAGGTAAAATATTAATTTCTGAATCAAAGAGATCATTAATGTTTATTAACATTATTTTCCTCATTTTAATTACAATAGCTTTTTTTGGACTTTTTTTAACTCTAAATATCTAATATGCATTAAATATAGCGTAAAAAGTTAATTTAAACAATTCTAATATCTTGTTACTTTATTATAAATGAAATTGTCAAACTTATTATTATTTACTAATTTATTGCAAAATGTAAGAACGGGTTTTAAATAAATGTTTTTTGTATGCTATTATATTTTGTATATTTTTTTTATGCATACTATGATATCATCAGGACTGGGAAGTACGTTACCACAGAGACACTCCCCTCACACCGTGCCATGATGTCAATGCTCCAGATCTCTACATACCCAGTAATTAATATTTATTATTCATTCTGAGCAACCGGACAAATCGTTGATCTACAACATTATTAAATCTCTACTTTTAGAGAATGCAAACTCGAGCTTTTGTGCCATTTTGTTGCCACTGTAGTGGATTTTCAATAAACTCTTCTTCTCCTACAGCCAGTTTTCTCTTTCAGTTTTCAGTCAAGTCATGGCAGATTATCAGTTGAAGAGAATCTTGCTGAGAAAGTTAGATTTTATAAACATGTTTATCCCTAGCTACCTGAAAAAACCCACCTCCTAATTGCACAGAGATTTTAAGGGGACTCTTGCTTCCTTGAGTACTAGGATTTAATGCAAGACTGCACATTAAGTATGAGCAACAATACCATGCTTGCAATGTGTTTGCCATGTAGTAAAATCAGAAACCATGTATCTGAATTTATAAAGTTGTTGCATTGTCTGCACTTATGATTTCATCAAACCTTTTTGTTTTCTTCTAGCAATGGCTTTTATCACTTACATTTTACTGGCTGGAATGGCTTTAGGAATCCAGAAACGGTGAGTAGTAGTGGTTTTTATAGGAGACTGACTAACACACTGATGTTTCCACTTTATGGATATTGGAGTGCTTGGACATCCTAAGGGATTCATATGAAAATACATTTAATAAAATAATCTATTAGCAAACTAGCCTATAACATTCAGTAACCCTCATGTGACCCTACTAAATGGGAATCATATCAGTATGATCAGCACTGCCACATTCACGTAATCTTTTTGACAGTGTTTTATATGAGACATGATTAATAGTTTTTGTTTTCTCTACATGTTCAGGTTCAGTCCAGAGGTTTTGGGTTTGTGTGCAAGCACAGCTCTGGTTTGGATCATCATCGAAGTTCTTGTCATGTTGCTCAGTCTTTACTTGCTCACAGTTCACACAGACCTCTCAACGTTTGACCTTGTTGCTTACAGTGGATACAAATATGTGGGGTATGTTTCGGTTGGATATCATAATGTATTTTACATGTCTGTGGAAGAGCCACTGTTTGTAACTGGAACGTGTGTTGTGTTTTATATAGCATTAAAGATGTTTTTTTCTTCTATTTTTCAGGATCATTTTCACAGTGTTGTGTGGACTGCTCTTCGGCAGTGACGGCTACTTTGTTGCTCTTGCTTGGTCTTCTTGTGCTCTCATGTTTTTTATTGTAAGTTTTGTTTAGAAATATGATGCTTACATATTTATATTTTTCAATGCATTTCTCCAATTAATTGTAAAATGAATGTTTTTTTTTCAGGTTCGTTCTCTAAAAATGAAGATCCTGTCTTCATTCTCAGCAGACTCAATGGGTGCCGGAGCGAGTGCCAAGCCCCACTTTCGCTTGTACATTACCCTGGCATCAGCTGCCTTTCAGCCAATCATCATTTACTGGCTCACCACTCATTTGGTCAGATGACCTACAGTATTTATACTGTGAAGGAACTTTAAAATGACAATGCTGGACTGGGATGGTTTCAAATTTTGGCATTGTTACAGAAAAGTGGCATACCGTGGTTGTGTTTTTTCACAGAGGATTTATGTGGTCTGATCTTCAATATTGGCTTCATCAGCGTTGTCATCTACTGAGCAATTGTTGAAAATATAATGTAATATTTTTACAGGATTGTGTTCTTCTGCCGTTGTTTTCACATGGAGAAAATGGGAAAATAGCAGTTTGACTGCTCTTGTGTCTTCGCCATGCTGCTTTAGTGTCACAAAATCCAGACTTCATTTTAAGAGGCATGCTGATTTATCTGCCCTGTGCTGTGATTCTTGTGTGATGTGCAATTAGTGAACACATGTTCAACTCAAGTGTCCTTCTTTTTCTGGTTTTCTGTGCATGAACAGCAGTGTTTTCTTCTTTATAGCAAAATAAATCCCGTGATTTAGACTTTTTTTTTTAAATGTTTAGAATTGTTTATATCTTGTCAGTTCAAGTACTTGATATGTTATGATATCAATAGTCTACAAGCAATATGACTTGATAGATTAGGTGCAATATACATATTAAATTGGAGTTCAGCTGCTGTAAACACTTACAAAAGATAAACATAAGACGCTTTTCCACCAAATATGTGTCCCTGGACCACAAAAGCAGTCATAAATAGCACGGGTATATTTGTAGCAATAACCAACAATACATTGTTTGGGTCAAAATTATCGCTTTTTCTTTTATGCCAAAAATCATTAGTATATTAAGTTAAGATCATGTTCCATTAAGATATTTTGTCAAATTTCATACCGTAAATATATCAGAATTGTATTTTTTTTATTAGTAACATGCTTTGCTAAGGATTTAGACAACTTTAAAGGCGATTTTCTCAATATTTAGATTTTGTTTTGCACCCTCAGATTCCAGATTTTCAAATCATTGTATCTAAGCCAAATATTGTCCTATCCTAACAAACCATACGCCAATTTAAAAGCTTGTTCATTCAGCTTTTAGATGATGTATAAATCTTAATTAAAAAAAAAAATTCTTATGACTGGTTTTGTGGTTCAGGGTCACATATAGAAGTACAAACGGCCAAAATTAAGCTAAAAAATAAAGCCAATCTCGTTTCAATTCATGAGTGTCTCTTTAAGGAGGGGTCGCAGGAGGCGCGCCGGCTGCAAAGCGTCCTTCTGGTTTCCAAGGAAACGCGGGAAAGGACAGCGCAGACAGAACAGGGTAGTGTGAGACATAACAGTTTCCTTTGCAGATATTTTAACACTTTGACAGAAACTTTAAACTTATAAGAGAACAGAATCGGAGACTGGATGCTATAAATTCTTTCCTACTTGTTCAGGTAAGTTTTTCGCTGTTCTATCGCTCTTTTGTCTTGGCATAAAGGCTTCACGCGAGCATGAATGCTTGGGTAATTATTCTAAATGTAACTTAATATTCTTGCGCCATTTTCTCAGGTGTATATAGACCATGTGGCTTTGCTTTCCGTGTTTGTCAGGTGATAGAATAATCGATTTGTTTAAAATTCTCATTCATATTTCGCATTAATTATCAGCAAGCTGTCCATCCCGGCTGCAAAGCGTCCTTCTGGTTTCCAAGGAAACGCGGGAAAGGACAGAGCGCAGACAGGACAGGGTAGTGTGAGACATAACAGTTTCCTTTGCAGATATTTTAACACTTTGACAGAAACTTTAAACTTATAAGAAAACAGAATCGGAGACTGGATGCTATAAATTCTTTCCTACTTGTTCAGGTAAGTTTTTCGCTGTTCTATCGCTCTTTTGTCTTGGCATAAAGGCTTCACGCGAGCATGAATGCTTGGGTAATTATTCTAAATGTAACTTAATATTCTTGCGCCATTTTCTCAGGTGTATATAGACCATGTGGCTTTGCTTTCCGTGTTTGTCAGGTGATAGAATAATCGATTTGTTTAAAATTCTCATTCATATTTCGCATTAATTATCAGCAAGCTGTCCATCATACCCGTGTTTGTTTAGCGCCAGTTGAATGTATCTTATTTCTCGGTTGACTACTTTGCTCAATCATTTACTCGTAGTGCACTCAGTATTGAAAAAGTAATGATACAGCCTCCTTCCTGGGTTTAATACATTCAAGTTATTTATTTGTTTATTTATGAAAAATTCTTATTTAAGAAAACTGCTTGTTTAAAAAAAGTATACGTGCAATGCATTAATTACACTGTTTGTGTGTTTCTGCAGTTCAACAGGTGAATGTGTGGACCTGTATCTTGCAGCTGAGAGACCGATGGAGAAATACACACAAGCACTGCCACCCCATTCTCCTTTACATTCCCCCCAAAATAACTCGGAAGCTCTGTCTCGATCCCCCTCTCTTCCACAGCCTGCTGCTGTTCTCTCTGCGTCCCTTTCTTCCTCCCCAACCACCCCATCCTCCTATCTTCACTTTACATCAACCCCTCGGGCATCTGGAGAGTCACATTGCCTCAGTCCCTCCACAGTATCTGACCAGGATGACCTGACCTGCCTCAACTGGCTGCATCAAAGAGGGAACCTGTTGCCTTTGCAGCCACTGCCCAAAATCACCACACTGCCCCAGACATTAGATCCCGTTCCTGTCCAGCAGCTGCCTTCCTCCGGTGCCAAACCCCCGTACTCTTTTAGCAGTCTCATCTTCATGGCAATAGAAGATTCGCCTGAGAAGAGTCTCCCTGTGAAAGGTATTTATGAGTGGATTGTCGACAACTTCCCCTATTATAAAGAGGCTCCCGGTGGATGGAGGAACTCGGTCCGACACAACCTTTCCTTGAGCAAGAGCTTCCAACGAATACATCGAGACAAGAGTCAAGTGCGTCAGATTTCCAGTCAGAATTTTATGAACTCTTTAGTCTATACCGATTAGTTGTTTAATGAAATATTCCTGCTTTGTTTTGCAGTCTGTTGGAAAGGGCTCATTATGGCGTGTTTGTCCAGAATATCGACCATCTCTTCTAGAAGTTCTTAGAAAAACTCATTATTGTCATCGTACCAACAGTAACTTGCTGAACAAGCCTGTTTTGTGAGTTTGATTTGCTTTCTTATGATACACACCACCTCCGTAAGGCTTAATATTGAATTATCTGATGCATTATGCACAACGGCAGAGGAACAAATGACTCGTTCATTTGGATACTGATACATGCATATCTGACCTCCATTCTGAACAGGTTGGAGGCGGCTGATAATGGGCAGAACACCTTGGGTGAGACTATGGAAATTTCAGGTATGCCACAACTGAACACAGCTTCTAAATGTAACTCTAGTTAAATTTAACATACTGGAATTAGTATGCTCTAACAAAAAAGTGCAATTATAGTTATACCTAATGAAGTTTAGTTAAGTGTTCAGCCTTGGCTCAAAATTGGTCTTTGGTTTCATCTTGGCATTCCAAAAAACAATCAATTACACATACAACACAACAGACCAAAACATCTAGAATACCCTAAATATAGCATATCTATAAATAAATATTAAATATAGGAGCATGAACGTTAAACAGTTATGGATACAGACATGTTATACACTACTGTTCAAGTCTCTTATGCTCACCAAGGCTGGGTTTATTTGATTAAACGTTCAGTAAAAACAGTAATGTTGTGAAATATTACAATTTAAAATAACTGTTTTCTATTTTAATATATTTTAAAATGTAATTTATTCCTGTGATGCAAAGCTGACTTTTTCAGCATCATTACTCCAGTCTTCAGTGTCACATGATCCTTCAGAAATCATTCTAATATGCCTGTTTGCTGCTCATGAAACATTTTGAATTATCAATGTTGAAAACAGTTGTTCTGCCATGAGTAGAAAGTTTAAATGAACAATTTTTTGGTTTTCAATTCAACTTTTATGTCATTATAAATGTCTTTAATGTCACCTTTAATCAATTTGTGTCCTTGCTGAATGACAGTTTTCATTCTTAATGACCCCAAACTTTTAAATGGTATTGTGTGATATGGTGTTTCTCTTGCACGCACTGTTTTGTTTGCTAGCCTTTATCCACTTTTTCCAGACACGGCATGTTTGTGAGCTGTTGTCTTGGTAATGACCGGACATTACCCTAGCAACCTATAGCCACGTTAACATTATGATCGTCCTCTCTGTGTCAGGCTGTTTTACTACAGGGTCACTTAAGTAAAGAAGTCTCAGATAACAGACCGTTTTCTCTCTTCATTTGCAAAGATTTTTCACCATACAGTACTAATTAAATAGTAATAATACAATAGTACAGTAACTGTGAATTAGTGTTTTTTTTGTGAATGAAAGAAAATATCCAGCTGTGAGTTTTATACAGAAGAGAGTCACAGAGAGTGACTGTCACACTAACTACTGACCTGTTCTTGTAGTCCACTGTGGTTATGTATGATACACTTCTCTTAATTCCATCACAAACTGTTCTATTTCACTGTTCCTCAGATCTAGATTCTCTGTCTTCAAACCCGCCGTGCTCTTTGACACCAGATCACGAGGAGCTGGTCCCCATTGAGTCTGTGGATCTGACAGAGGTTATCGGCGAGGATTCAGAGAAAGATCCACTGGCAGACAGCGGTTACATTGAGTTACACTATTACCAGTATCAGCAGTATCAGTACCTGGTTCTTCCAGGAGACACTGAGTTGGACCTGGAGACGGTTGAGATACTGCAGCTTGATGCAGAGGCTCAGGAGGCTGCAGGGTCACTGCTTGATCTTGCGGGAGGCAACCTCTGAAAGCTTACCTGTGTGCTGTGTACAAGCAAGGAGGGTTAATGGGGAGATGGGGCCACTGCGAGAACTCTAGGCTTGATGTACTATTGGCACCTTATAACTGCCTGAACTTTTACTTACTGTCATGAAAGGTGCAACATAAGCAATTCCAAATAATCTAGTGATTCGAATAAAACATTTGTAGGGACTGACAACAGCACTGTGAGGGTATCCTTGGTATTAGTGTATAATAGGTAATAAAGCATCTGCAAAATGCTTTCATAAAGAACAAAATATTTATTGTTTTCTGTGGTTGAAAGGTAATATTTCATGCACTTCCATGCCATTTTAAGTCCCTTCCATTAAGATTATTCTAAAGATTTGTTGTGTTCTACATTCAAATTAGAGGGATAAAGTTCTGATGTGAGTTTAGAAGAAAATAGTTTTTTTTTACAGTATGAAATTGTTCAAAATTATGAACATGTTCAAGTATTATTGAGATAAACTGCCAGCTGTTAGATTGGGTAGATGGAAAGATTAATATCTAACCCTTATTTCTTGATTGTTGATTATTGTCGAGAACTCTAGGCTTGATGTACTATTGGCACCTTATAACTGCCTGAACTTTTACTTACTGTCATGAAAGGTGCAACATAAGCAATTCCAAATAATCTAGTGATTCGAATAAAACATTTGTAGGGACTGACAACAGCACTGTGAGGGTATCCTTGGTATTAGTGTATAATAGGTAATAAAGCATCTGCAAAATGCTTTCATAAAGAACAAAATATTTATTGTTTTCTGTGGTTGAAAGGTAATATTTCATGCACTTCCATGCCATTTTAAGTCCCTTCCATTAAGATTATTCTAAAGATTTGTTGTGTTCTACATTCAAATTAGAGGGATAAAGTTCTGATGTGAGTTTAGAAGAAAATAGTTTTTTTTTACAGTATGAAATTGTTCAAAATTATGAACATGTTCAAGTATTATTGAGATAAACTGCCAGCTGTTAGATTGGGTAGATGGAAAGATTAATATCTAACCCTTATTTCTTGATTGTTGATTATTGTCATGCTACAGCATTCTGTAGTGTTTAGTTTCCTGTGTAGTATGATGCATGTCATATTTTGCTTTATCCACGTGTTTATTTTAGTATGTTTAACAGGTTGACACTAAATGACACTCTGACCCCATCCTCTTCATGTGTAACTCATGTAGCAATAAAGTACTAAAATGTTACGTTGAAGTCTTTGCCTGATTTAAGATCTGAGATTATACATTTTAATTTTAATTTGCAAGCTCTTAGTAGATGACAGATTTAACCAGAAGACATTGAGGAGTGAATTAGTGAAGCTAATAAATAGACATTACTATTAATGTCTTCTCATATGGCTTCATTTATGAAAATGACACATCTTAACCTTTAGATAATGGTTGCTCTGCAGTGGCTTGTAAGAAAAACGCCAGTGTTCTGAAAATCTGACCTACGTACTCGAGATAACCGACCAGTAGTTTAAACTGTCATACTTGAAGCTACAACATAAGGCATACAAACTATCTAGATGCAATACTAATGTAATAGATGAGCTGTAAAAGCCTATCAGGATATGTTGTCACCATAGGCAGACTATATTGTCAGGCAGGACTAACCCACAACCCCACCCTAAACCTTAACCTATCATTAAAAGGATGTAGTTTGGGTGGGGCAACCCCAGAGGCAGGTCAGATTTTCAGTACACCTTCTATGTACAGGTATGTGATCTTTTTAAATGTAATAGTATTGCACTTACCCTTACCTAATGAATCACGTGAATGAATTTAACAATTTATTGTCAGAAAATTACATTTAATAGGAAGCAAATAATTATAAATGTATAAAAAATTCTTATAGCTTTAGGATGTAGAATCAGCTTAAGAGTGCGAGCTGATTTCGAGCATGTGCTATAACAAACATATTTAACTCAAGCTCTGCATAAACCAAAAGCTGTTGTGTAATGTAGTAAATGAGATGTGTTCATGGGTGGTTCTTGGTCCTGGCTACACCAAAAGTGAAGGCTGCCATACCAGTGTGACTCATTATGGAAAGCCTAGAAGACACTCCCTAGATGTCTGGCAAAACTTTTTTGAAAAAAAGGGGGAAGTATTGCTTGTACTATTTTCATGTTGGCATGAGCTAACGTTAATGTTTTTAAGTGCATTAGCTTACCGAGTAACAAAAACAAGTGTAAATGTGCGCACAATGTAATCAGAGAGGTGATATTTAATGAAGATTAAAATATTGTTTCACGCTTATAAATCACTAGGCTCAATAATATTTAAGTCCTCTGATTGGACCGTAACAACAAACGCCACTTGTCACGCTCTGGGTTCTCTTGGATGTTGTAGTTTTTGTGGCCTACTGACGGTTGGAGTGTATTCGAATTCGTTTCCAACAAAACTACATTTCCCAGCAACACGCGCGGTGGGACGGTCTTTGACGGACAAAGTTGTGTTTATTAAAACTGAAACGTTCATCATCTGAAACGGAGCCAGTGGAAGGTCTGCAGAGATAAACGAAGCATAAGGTACTGGAATTGATTGGTTGCTTTCAAAGACGGTAAAATGTAAACTAGCTCAAGACACTTTTAAAATGGCTTAATTTAGTTTCGTCCATTCCTCAAGTATGTTGTCGGTTTGATTGAAACTCCTCAATGCTGGGGCGAGGCGGTAGTAACTAGCTAGTTTAATATCAGCAAGTTTGATTTTTATATTGTATTTAACGTTATATACATGCATCTTGTAAGATGTCACCAAACAAACAACTTTTGATTCTTATATGGAAAATATTACATAAAGGATCTGGAATTCAGCCTGTCAACGAGAGGAGAGATCTGCACTAATGTTTCACATTTACTCATGATTATTTACTATTAACTATAAAACAAGTTTACCATATAAGCCAGGTTTATTTCAGTTAGTCTGACTTATTGTTAGTTGATTTGGTTCAAAATAAGTCAGACTAAATGAAATAAGCCTGGCTTATTTGGTAAACATGATTTTAAGGTAAAATCCTTGTTTTATTGTTGTGATTTTTTTTTCTCTTTTCTTTTATGTAAAGCACTTTTAATTACCATTGTGTATGAAATGTGCTATATAAATAAACTTGCCTTGCCTTGCCGTGCCTTGCCTAAACTTGTATCATGAAACAGGCCCCCGAACACAATCTGAAGCCACTCTGAATGCGTTTAATGGTTGACATGAGCAAGTTCATATGTTCATTTATCATATTTGACAGAAGTTTCTTAGTGGCAGTTGCCTCGTTTCTCTTTACTACATGCAACGCATGCAGTACTGTAAGTATCTGTAATTATTACATTCTTTTGAGAAACAGCCAGGGATTCCTGACATTTTTCAGCAGGTTTGTCTGTTCCAGACCTCACCTTTTTTTTTTTTTTTATCGGTTCCACCTGTGTATTTTATTCCTCAGGGTGTGATGTTTCACTTATACACACATTTGTGTACAAACTCTTCCACTATATGCAGATGACAGTGGCTTTGACTTTCCACAGCAGTGTTGATTGTACACATTTGCCCACGAGTGAAAGCAGTCTGAATGATTGAAACAATGAATCACATTCAAGCTGAAGTCTGTCAGTGAAGAAGAGCATGCTTGAACCTTTTAACTGGCTTGCCACATCGCAATTTCCCAACAAACCCTGCCCTGCCAGCCAACAGGGCCAGTACTGTCTCAATAATGCCTCCCAGAAATGTGATTTAACACACTGTCTTTGATATTTCCAAGCAGAAACTAACAGCTAGCTGTAAAGGTCAAACCTAATTGTGGCATGCACTCGAATATGAATGTGTGACCTTATTTTATTGCAGCCAATAAGCTGAAACATTTTTATTGTCGCCCATAGTAAGCGTGTGATATAGGACAGAGGATGAGAGGCGATCCTGGGCCAGTTCAGATCGTGACAGTCAACAAGGAGGATCACTCCTTTGACCTGGACACAGAAGCGCTCAGTCGAATTCTGTTGACGCCTGAGGTTCGAGATAAGGATGTGGTGGTGGTGTCTGTCGCCGGTGCCTTCCGAAAGGGGAAAAGTTTCTTTTTGGATTTCATGCTCCGATACATGTATAGGAAGGTCAGAAGAAAAACATTCAATATTCAGATCATGTAATACAGCACGTAATTGAATATGTAGCAAAATTCACCCAGTTAAGATGACACTTTCTAATATAACTGGAATACTGGTAGTGTGCTGCTCTTGAGCAGGAAGCCAGGCATATTTATTCCCACTGTAAATTCACCTCTTATTATTTTGTCCTCTCCAGCCTGGTCAGGACTGGCTTGGGCAGGAGAATGAGCCTCTGACAGGTTTCTCCTGGAGAGGAGGATCAGAACCAGAGACCACTGGCATCCAGCTATGGAGTGAAGTTTTCATTGTGCGGAAGAAGGATGGAAGTGAGGTAACAAGCGCCTGACAGCAGACAGCTCACTGTGGTCATGTGGTCTTATTCAGAACTGGTTAAAGGTTTTACTTCCATTTTTTAAATACCAAAAACTAATGCTTTTCATGATGTTTTAATGGTTTTTGAACATCTGCACTCTTCCACTAATGCAGTCAGTCAGAGATGTGAACGTGCAGTATTGAGAGAGAAATAATGTGTTGGAATAATAGGTAACATTTACTAAGTATGCACAGGTTAGATCTGCATGTGAAAGTTTTCACAAACATCTTTCTGTGTGAAAGGGGATCATTTTGACAGTGTTGTTGGAAGAAGGTTTCTGTTTGTAGTACATTGTTGTCATGTAAAAGTACCATAAAATTATTCTAACTTTACGAAAAATTGTAGGAACAACTGATACCACAGGTATGCAAAAAACACATACTCTGGGTGGCCTTATAATTGTGTTATGATGAAAATTATATTTCATCTTAACATGATTAGAATTAGAATATATATATATGTATATGTAGTTAAAATACAATTTATATTTAATCTAATTTAGAAAACTTTTAACTTCACTAACATTAAAACAAGGTTAAGAACAAATATATATGTGTGTAAGCATGTGTTGTGAATTGGGCATAATTTTTTGTGTGAAATGTTTTCCTGTACTTACAGATATGAAATAATCCACTCAGTTGTTAGTTGATATACGCATGTTTGAGATATGGAAACTGAGTTTGAATGAAGAACTAAATGATTAGTATTAGCCAGTTTCAGTTCCCCTGAAATTCATTACGACAGTTGCATTATGAACTATCTGATATCTTATCTGGTGGTTCATGTCCAGTAAGCAGTCTGCACTTGCAAAAGCCCTGATTTCAGATTCATAGTAAGTTTGTAGTGAAATTCTGTCACTTCCTGTCAAGATTTTGTCATCTGTGATCTGGCTTAATGTTAAAGGGGTCATATGATGCGATTTCAAGTTTTCCTTTCTCTTTGGAGTGTTACAAGCTGATTGTGCATAGATAAGATCCCTGAAGTTGCAAAGACTAAAGTCTCAAAACCAAAGAGATATTCTTTATCAAAGTTAAGACTCTGCCACGCCCCCCTAAAACGGCTCGTTCTAACACGCCCCCACATATCTACCTCACTATGTGGAAATATTAGCAGGGTGAGGCTGAAAGCTGTCGAAGTGAAACGAGGCCGCTGAACGAGCGTGACACACAGCTCAAAAGCAGCGGAGCTTTTATTATGCCACAGTCGACCGCTTCCGCTCCTTCCGGTCGTGCGTATGTGGGGGAAAAAAGCAGCGCTGTTTTATCATACTAGATATGTTTGAAAGTTGTTATAATGCTACTCGTCACCGGTCTATTAAAACGCATATTAATTAAATATAACATATTAAAGCATCTTTGGTGTTTCCGTGTTTTCTACAAAACAAATCCGGAAAGTTAAAATTGCTTATTTCTCTGGATTTAAACATTTTTCGAAACATTTGGGATAAAGTACACAAGTCAGCAAAATATACAGTGGGTACGGAAAGTATTCAGACCCCCTTAAATTTTTCACTCTTCGTTATATTGCAGCAATTTGCTAAAATCATTTAAGTAAATTTTTTTTCCTCATTAATGTACACACAGCACCCCATTCTAGTGGTTTTTGGATATTTTAATAAAAAAATCTTACATATTGTGCCTTTAATGCTTTGGAAGAAAACATTGGTTGCACTTTGCAATAAGGTTTATTAGTTAACATAAATGAATGCATTAACTAATATTAACTAACAATGAGCAATGCATTTGTTACAGTATATTTATTCATCTTTGTTAACATTAATAAAAGTACAACTTTTCATTGTTAGTTCATTTTAGCTTAGGTCCATTAATTAATATTAACAGATAAAACTTTGGATTTTAATAATGTATTGGTAAATGTTGCAATTAATATGAACTGAGATTAATAAATGCTTTAAAAGTATTTTTCATTATTAATTCATGTTAACTAATGTAGTTAAATAATGTTAACAAATGGAACCTTATTGTAAACTGTTACTGAAATCTCTCGCTGTATGCTCACTAAGGCTCAAAATACAATTATTACAATTTAAAATAAATGTTTTCTATTTCATATATTTTGAAATGTCATTTAATCCTGCGATTTCCTTCTGAAATCATTGTAATACACACATTTGGTGCTCAAGAAACACTTTTATCACAGTTGAAAACAGTTGTGCTGCTTAATATTTTTATGGATACAATTATTACAATTTAAAATAAATGTTTTCTATTTCATATATTTTGAAATGTCATTTAATCCTGCGATTTCCTTCTGAAATCATTGTAATACACACATTTGGTGCTCAAGAAACATTTTTATCACAGTTGAAAACAGTTGTGCTGCTTAATATTTTTATGGAAACCAAACCATGTAAATTTTTTCAGGATTATTTCATGAATATAAAGTTCAAAAGAACAGAATTTATTAAAATATAATTTTTTTTTGTAACTTGTACTGTCACTGTTGATCAATTTGATCAATTATTTAGAAAAAAAAATCTTGCTGACCCCAAATAATAGAGCAAATCATATTTGTCAACACTCCACTTACATCTGATATCTGCATCCCTCTTTGTGTCCCTCATTGTGGGTTTAATTTTCTTTTTTACACCTCTCATTTTATACTAACATTGTTATTTGTGTCCTAACTCTCTCTCTAACAATCACTCCTGCCACTCTCAGATGTGGCTCCAGAGTTCAAGGAGCAGTTGCATGAACTCATTCCCAACCTGCTGAAGACTGACGAGCTGGCTGTGAAAGAGATCAATGGGAATAAGGTGACCTGCAGGGGCCTGCTGGAGTACTTCAAGGTGAGCTCACACCTGGCTTATGATCATCTTGATCTCTATTTTGTTGAGCAGCATTTAAAAATTTTTTTTTTTTTTTCGCTGTCAGGCATATATCAAGATATATCAGGGAGAAGACCTTCCACACCCTAAATCCATGCTAGAGGTAACAATGCAGTTTTACTGATATTTGGTATTCATTTGTGATTTGTCACAAGATGTCATGTTGTTGAATTAATGTTTTGACTCATTCAGGCTACAGCAGAGGCCAATAACCTTGCAGCTGTGGCGTCAGCAAAAGACCAGTACTACAAGAATATGGAGAAGGTCAGGTTGTTACACACTCATTATTATATGTACAATGTGTTACACACTCATTATACTGTATGTACAATAAGTTCAGTTCCTTTCATACATATTATTGCTGAATGAAACTAATACTAGGGTTGTGACGATTGACGATAGTAGTGTGTATTGACTATAGTCAGATATCACCTGTGGCTGATGCCTTTGATGATAACAAGACGATTATTATTGTTATTATTATCAGGCTAGTAATACTATCTAATTAATATTAGGGCTTATTTGTTCCATCGTATTTATTTTTCCACATTTTAACGTTATAACCAATCACACACTATTCTGTTGAGCTTATGAATGCAATGGCCAATCAGAGGCATTCAGATGAGTCATCACACTGGAGTTTTGTTGTTCAGTGCATGCGCTTGCTAACTGAATTCTCTCATAAACAAAGTGCAGATATAGGTGCGATGTAAGTGTAAGAGATTTATTCATCATGCAGTGTAGATAGCTTCACTGCTTTTAAAGTGCATAAACTTGCGCTAGACTTAAGTCAGTGATGATGTTCTTTGATAATGTAAATGTTCTTTGGTTGGTTTCTGTAGCTGCTATTTGAATAACTGAGGAAATGTAAGCATTATAATTAGTAACTTGCAATGTTTCTATTAAATTGTTATCATGTTAAATACAATTTCAGTCATAATAAAAATATTTTACATATTTAGTTAATAGATTACACTAACATTAGGCTGCTTTTAGCCTTACCCTGGAGTTGGTTCACTCTCTGGCTATGAAACGAAGTAAGTAAATAATTAAAAAAATGAGACATAATATTGTGTATCGGCGATCTCACAGGCTGACGATAGAATGATATGACTATGGAGCATATCGCCCAACTAATGCGCATTTTTATATTTGCATTGGCATGTGATTACCAAACCTAATATCCATTTAACCTTTTATATAATGTCCTTTTATTTATTTTTCTCACATCCCCCCTCACTGTTAGGTGTGTGGTGGAGATCTGCCTTATGTGGCTCCTGACTCACTGGAGGAGAAGCACCATTTCTTCCTGCAGGAGGCCCTTCATCTCTTCTCCAGCACTAAGAAGATGGGTGGGCGGGATTTCTGTTACCGTTACCAGGAACAGTTGGAAGGAGAGCTGAAAGAGCTGTGGGAGTCCTTAAGCAAACACAACGAGGTAACAAGTGAAAAAGCATCGAAAAAATTAATGTGAAAAATATTTCAAAACTTAAAAGGATTTTATTAATTTTATGTACACTTGCTGTCTTTTCAGTCCAAGAATGTTTTTAGTGCTTTCCGGACGCCTGCAGTGCTGTTTGTCCTGGTCTGCCTCCTGTATGTTCTGTCAGGAATTTTGTTCTTCATTGGCCTGGAAACTATTTCCTTTGCATGTGACTGTGTAGTTGGCCTGGCCATGATTGCTATGCTGACCTGGGCCTTTATCCGGTACTCTGGTCAGTACAGAGAAGTAGGCTCAGCCATAGACCAGGCTGCTGGAGTAATACTAGAGCAGGTACATATATTCCTTTAATAATTATACATATGAATATATATATTTTAAATGAAGATTAAAAATGTACTTGTGTTGTTTTTCAGGCCACAGATGTGCTAAACAAGACAAGAAGCCAGGGTCAGGTGGCTGCACAACAGAAAAAGACAAGATAGCTTCTCATTCATACCGAAGATGCCAGAACGAGATGTAAACTGCACAGACGTGACCAATAATGTTACCAAATTATGCATATCTCCAAATATAGCACTTACATTTCTACTTCTAATGCAGGCTGACTCATTTTGTCAGAATATCTTAAAGAAGATTTTTAAATATCACCACAAATATGAACACAAGACCAAATATCACAAACCAGCAGCTGGTTTTTCAGGGACAGGTATAGATTTAGCGCAAGGGCTAAACTCTCCACAGAACTGCATTGATATGTTTACAGTTGTTCATTCCAGTTCAGCCAAAGACATCCTCTATAGCAGGTCAGGGTTGTATAATGTTTAGATTGCACTTGTATTGCAGACTGTAGACATGTTATCTGTTTGTTCTTAGCCAGGAATACCTTTGCACATGAACTGCCATTACTTCATTAAGGCTTGAGCTTGATAAGATGTTTAGTATTACAAGTGTTACTATATTATGTGAACTTTGCAAGAGCTTTGTTTGGTGTTCTTTGTACCACATTGTTGCCTTCTATGCATTCCATCTTTCCATCTTGTACACATCCATGTATGATTTATATGGGAGTTTCTGTCAATAAGCTGTTTCACTTGTATTGGGTTTCATAATCAGGGTAACAAACATATATTATTCCATCCCAATGTTCTTGAGTGCTGGATTGGTTCTGTTCACTTCCTCTTAACTGCTGGCATGTAGTTGGGTGTTCAAAACCATCCTGACACTGTCATCAAGTTGAACAAAGTATTGATAGAAAAGCTAATATTAACTATTCAACAGTGTCTTGGGGAAAGCTTGGTCATTGTGCACTATTCTGTAATCAGGTTCATATTTGCATATCATTAGTAAATGCCTGATTTGATTCTGTTATTGGAGTGATTTGAGCACTGTTGCTCTTATGACTTTCCATTTTAATTTTTGTTACGTAACATTCCTTGTATGATGTGGTGGTGAAATAGTATACCTGGAGAATCCAGAGCATTTTTCCAGGTTTTTAAAGACAGAAAATATGCATTTGCCCCCCAAGGAATGTCTGTAAAGTGTATTTGTGGCGTTCTTCTTTGTTGCATTCCACTAGAGCCTCAGTTGGAGGCTTTGAATGTGTTACTTTCACTTTTTCAGCTGTGTGGACCTGCCTAAACTTACCCACCAGGGATCATTCTCTGTCCCTGTATATCACTTTCATTGTTACATACACGTTATATATCCCAGAAATAAAGCTATACGCATGCCATACACTGATGGGTCTTGTTTGTACACAGTTGAAGGCAGAAATGTGAAGAAGAGTCAACGTTTGTACACTAGGTGTCAGCATTGATTTAAACGGAGAGAACGTTTCAGTGCGTCGTGGCCACGTTTGAACATCGTTCATTTGCATCAATCCACAAATAGATCCTTTGATTCGTACATCACTTGTTCACTGCAAACTGTAGATAATAAAGCATGTTCTGTGCTCTTTGGTAAGCGGGACGCATTCTTCCTCCTTTGCAGTTTCATTCGTTGCTGCTGTACACCGCTCCCTCTAGCGTGTGAGCGTCCTTGTTTCCTTATATGGCGATCGGAGTCGCGAGCCGCCTGATGTGCGCGGCTTCGGCTGAAGCGCGCTCACGACTGGTCACCATTTGCTTCCTTATTTGGAAGCGAGTTAAGCGAACCTTAAAAAGGGGCAGAGACCAGCAATGCTATACAGCAGCGTGCCACTAACGAATATTGCACTTGGTGTGGTGTGTTTCGGTGCAGAATTTAGTAGTATAACAGCACCTTTCATGTCACTTTACCATGTATGGGCCAGAAAACTAAAGGTCTAAATGTTCAGTATGTAAAATGTTGGTTGCTGTATTTAAATATATTTAATTAAAAATTCGTATATATTAATAATGCATAATAATACATTTAATGAACAATAATATATATGTATATATATATAGTATTTCATAGTTATATATTTTTAATAACATGCTTAATAATGGTTTTTAAATAAATACTTTAAATGCACATAACCTCATATAAACGCTTTTCAAAGACCATAAGTTTGTGCCAGTGTATTACTAACAACAGTGAATATATCTGTGACCCTGGACCACAAAACCTGTCATAAGGGTCAATTTTTCGAAATTGGGATTTTTACATCATCTGAAAGCTGAATAGATAAGCTTTCCTTTGATGTATGTTTGTTTGTTGGGATAGGACCATATTTAGTTGAGATACAACTATTAGAAAAAATGGAATCTGATGGTGCAAAAAAATCTGGGGGGGAAAAATCGCCTTTAAAATTGTCCAAACGAAGTTCTTAGCAATGCATAATACTGATCAAAAATTACATTTTGATATATTTACGGTAGGAAAAAATGTTCATGGAACATGCTCTTCGTTTAATATCCTAATGATTTTTGGCATTAAAGAAAAATCGCTCATTTTGACCCATACAATGTATTTTTAGCTGTTGCTACAAATATACCCGTGCTACTAATTTTGTGGTCCAGGGTCACATTTTATTATGCCCAAGTCCGGCTGTATAGAGCTCAGAACTCCAGCTCCCACAACACCCCAACAAGCGCGTGACATGGACGCGCGTTCCCATCGCTGCACGGCCACGCGCAAAAGGGCGCGCCCGAGTGTTGTATCAAGTGCGCGAGAGCGAAGGACTGCATCACAGCTCGTTCAATTCCCCTCCAGACGCCGACTAGCGAAGAGACACAACCATGGTACGTCTACATTTAAACGATGCTAATACAATGTACGGCTAGTTTCAGCGTGTTTGAAGAGTTCAATGGCTAGCTTGTGGGCTTTGTTTTTTTATGTGAATAAATAATCTGTGAATCAAATCTGTCAATTAACCCCTTCGCCGACTAATAGCTGCAAACCGGTTTTCCTTGGTTCTCTTGGCAGCGTCGTTTAACCGTATTTATTAACGAACTCGATTATCCTCGCGGTTCTCGAAGGTGCGAGGCCTTCCGCTGCGATGAGATTGGCAAAAACGAGACCCAAAAACAACTGGCGCCATTTCCCCGCTCAGCCTCCTTTATTTCCGTGAGTCCAGGCCCAGGAGCGGCCTCGCTGCTTTATCACACACTACCTACAGGCCCGTCGCTCCGCATACGATCGCATCGCTCAGGTAAATTAGGAACGGCTGTGAATAAACCGTTGGTCGTTGGCCGCGTGTGTGTTTAACTGCGTTTTTCGCCGGCCAGATGAAGCGCTTTCACGACTCTGTCCTTTCTTTGTCTGAGCACGGCCATCCGTCAAAATACACCACCGCTCGCGTTTGCCGCACCAGAGGGGCTGCGGGCGTGTGTAAAACCGTAGGTTATTCCCTTTTAAGACCGAAGCCTCGCGTGTATAGAGTGCGCTTTTCGTCTTCAGAACGCGGTAACTTTGCGGATATTTGGAACACATGCGCGAACGCTGCAGTCGTGGCCCCACCCTAATTCTTGATGCACAGATGGTGTTGGTTTTATTTCTTTGACCAAAAAAATACAACTCGACTGGAAACGTATTTTGTATAAATACAACAACACTTGAGCTGAGCGGAAGGAAGCCGAGTTTAAAATCCGTTACTTGTGTATTTGCGTATTATCAGGCAGCGCGTGCACGGCTGCACTCTTCCTGGTTGGACGTAACTTTGATGAACCGTCGCGTATCTGACGTTTTATCTTTGCTCGACGTCTTTATTGTCATAATTGCTGTTTGTCACTTTGTCGGCATTCTGTCTTTGTAATAAGCACGTGACGTTCTCTTGCCTATGACGTGCAGCATTTGTGGATATTTAGAAGAAGGTGCTTTGCGTCCTGTTTAGTAATTGAACTTTCGCTGGTGCTTTCGTCGTCTGGTTTCTGTAGACGTGAAAAACACTTGTGAAATTATTGAGGGGAAATGGTCAAGTTGAAGGAAATGCCGGTTCCGGTGCGACCAGTCTCGGTCGCGAGGACAATATGCGACGTCATAGGCCACAAGCGACGTCAAAATCTGAGAGGCACGTGACCTTATACAGTGACCTTATACAGTGACCTTATACAGTGGTTATTTTCTTGAACTTATAAGCACTTTTCATTTGAGGACCCACGACGTCACATTTCCTGTATCACAACGCTGGCTCACTTCTCAGTGAACTTGGAGGATTTACCAGCAGCGTTAGTGCCCATGTACTTAAACTTTGGACTTAATTTTGCCCTTTAATATTTTGACACTAGATGGGGAAGGATTTGCTTGTTTTCTTGCTGAAGATCTAGAATTTGCATTTACTCATCCAAAACAAGCGGCTGTAATTAAAAAAATTTAATTGGATTTGAAATTGTTTACCTGAAAAGTCGTGCTAGTTCATTGCTCAAAAGGTGTGGGAATCCTAATTCTCCTTTTGGCCTTAGTGTCCCATTTTTTTCCCCCATTATTTGTGAGCATGTTACGTAATGAGGCGTCTTAACATGTTCCTTTCATTCACACCTTAAGCAAACCGGTTCCACCCATTAGATGTACTTTTCCTGTAAGTGGGCCATTTAAGCATCTACCCCGCAAGGCTCCTTGTGTCCACCTTTTCGCACGTCCTCATATGCTATTCAGAAGCTGGATAGACGCTAGAAGTTCAGGTTCCTAGCCTTTTTAAAGGGTTTTCTCATTGCTCACCGTATAATCTTAGGAACTGAAATGTTGAATGTCTGGTTATGGCAATGCAGCATGAGTCACTGAGCCTTGTTTCTAATGGATTGGTGTGATTGAGGCCATTTAGATTTTTCACAGAAGAATCATTGTTTTGTGATCTAATGCTGTACACCAGCTTTGTATGACATTTTTTTTTTTTTATAGCATCCACATCCATAGAGTAATTTTTATATATGTTTGATGCTCCTGCTTTAAATCAGACTATCAGCACAAATCTCATCAGCTCTTATAAGGAAGTGGCCAACCTTCCCTCTGTTCAAATGTGTTCGAGCATATCTGAGGTGTCACGTGACCGGGAAAGAATGGTGCCTTGTTCAAATCAGCCTTTTTTTTCTTTGACTTGCTATTTAGTTTTTTTTTTTTTTGTGGGAATAGAAACCACATCCCTGCATTGTTTTATTCTCACCCAGAGTGATATTTAAGTTTTTATTTGCCTTGACTCTCATTCCACTGCCCTTGAAGTGTGTGGTCCTGTTTCTCCTATGTCAGGGTTTTTTGTTTGGTCACTTACTGCTGTCTTGCATGGCACAACCTGCCGGCCTAGTAGTTTAGAATCCGCTGGACGAGGTTCAGATAGAACTATACAGTTTTGTCAAAACGGCAGCCAGTTTAACTAGAACAGACAAAGCTGTTTGTTTTTAAAATTCCGTTCACGCTCTCATTCTGATTTTTCACCCACACATTCACGCATCCTTGCTCATCAGTTCACTCACTTCCCTCTATTCAGACGGGCCCTCCATGCGACCTTATCCTGTGTGTTTGTGTGCTTGCAGGCCTCCGGAGTTACAGTGGATGAGAACGTGTTGACGATCTTCAACGAAATGAAGGTCCGCAAGGCTTCTGCCAACGAGAAAGAGAAGAGCAAGAGGAAGAAGGCTGTTCTCTTCTGCCTGAGTGAGGACAAGAAGCGTATCGTCATGGAGGAGGGCAATGAGATCCTGCAGGGAGATGAAGGAGATCCCTACCTTAAGTTTGTCAAGATTCTTCCTCCTGACGATTGTCGCTATGCTCTCTATGATGCCACGTATGAGACTAAAGAGACCAAGAAAGAGGACCTGGTTTTCATTTTCTGGTAAGTCTCAAGAGCTTCTGCATGTGTGCTTCATGTAGCTCCCAGTCCTGTTCCTGGAGATGTACCTTCCTGCAGACTTTAGTTCAGAGTTCCCACGCTGCTTGAAAGAACTTGAATATCAGACACACAGATTCAAGGCCTGGAAAGTACTTGAAAACAAATATAGGTCCTAAAAAGTGCTTGAAATAAATTTAGTAGAATGGTGCCATTTCAAAAATGTTCCTATATGCGCTGTCAAAGGCAAAACAAAACCGCGCTAATGATTGGGGTGGAGATGGGGTAGCGCAAGAAAAAATCTTAGCATGTGAGCTGATGCTCACATTGCACAGCCCTGCATGAAACTATGGAGAAGCAGTGCATTTGCGACTGAAAACTACTGCGTGCGACTATTAAAAAATACGTACTTACAACGTGTTTGTAGCGGTGAGTAATGTATCAGACATATGTTGATTCCTTGAACATGTTAATCAGAATCCACTCACAGCTGAAAACGCCGTTTTGTTCAGTGCTGAGTTCTGCAAGCTCACGAATCCTCTCATTATAACAAACAAAGTGTAGACGGGGTTTAAATAAGAGATGTGCAGTGTAGAGAGCTGCGTTGATTATAATGGAACTTTGTGAGATTGTGATGAACGAAGGAGAGTGACAGCTTTTAATGAATAAGGGAGTTTGCAAATTATATTGATTTAATACAAGTTCATTAAACA